TGGGGGACTTCTCGCCTCTTTCCCATGCACTGCTGCTCAGATTGTTCTTTGGCTCCTTTGGATCAGGGGGCTGGTGGGATGTATCTGTAAGACAGCTGGGATCTCAATGAGGTAGACAGGGTGATGTTTGAGACTGGAAGTAGTTGGAGTAACTTGAATGTGTCAGCTTGTCTTTGCAGAGCTAAAATAGGTGTGATGAGTAAGGGGGAAACATTTTGCTTCAGAGTGAATTTTGAAAACTGTCCTATCCCTGAAACAGGCGAGTGAGTGAGAGGGGTTTGTATGGTTCTTCAGTTATTGGTGTATGGGAGTGGGGAAATGAAACTTGGGAGAAGTTTCAAAAAATGCTTGCTTGAAAAATATTTCCTCTGGCAAAGTTAGTAAATCTTAGACCAAAAAAGGCAGAAAATTAATTTGTCCTAGAAGGAGTTACTGTGTTACGTTTTGACTAAATTCAGTCACTAAAGCATGAAATGGAGTGACTCATTCTGCTAAGTACAAATCTTGATGCATCTTAAACTATGGAGCCATTCATGCATCTCCAAAATCAGCTTTCAATAACACCTTGGCTGTCTCTGTACAGTGTAGGGCTTGCATCTTCTTGCTCACATGGGTAGAATCTGACTTACAGGAATATGCAGAAGCCACTTTGAAGAACAACAAATATTCATTCATCGATTTTAGTAATAGGCTAAAGGATAAACTGTGAGATGCTGAATTGTATTAAAGTATCAAATTTTGGAAACAGTTTTACAGTTTTTAAGTATTTGAAACACAACTATACGAAGTAATTTTCATAAAATACCACAGTGTAATAGTGGAGCTAAAACTAACAGTTTTCACCTTGCATCAGGGCTGTGGAATTTCATCCTTAATCTACTTCTTGCTCTAGAATTTTGTTCCAGAAGTGAAGTTGTCATTATTTTTTATCTCCCTCAGGATTGTGAAAACAACCATAAAAATTAAAACTGAGCGTAACTGCTGCAGTGTTGTACTTTCCAGTCTTCCATAATAAATCAGAGATGGGAATTGGTCTGATTCTGAAACCTAGTGACAATTTAAATATAATCAGCTATTTGCTGATAATTCTAGCAGAAACATCAAGTTATTCATAGAGTTTAAGGCTAAAAGGATGCATTAGGGCATCTAGTCTGATCTGCTTTATATTTGAGGCCATTAAATTTCACCAATAACTTGTTTGGCTGAAGCATATCTTCTAGAAAGGCACTCACCTTTAATTTGAAGACACTGCAATGGAGAATCCACCACTTCCCTTGGTAGTTTGTTCCAATGGTTAATCACCCTCAGTATTCAGAGGCGGATTAGGGGTTTGTGGGGCCCTGGGCCATAGCAAGGGAGGTCCCCTCTCCACCCCTGCTGCCCTTCCTGCCCTGCCCCAGGCGCTCCTGCTGGGGAGCTGGGTTGGGACGCGGGAGCTTCCCCTGCCAACTTGGTGCTCCTGCTGGGGGGCTGGCTTAGGGCACGGGGCCTTGCCCTGCTGCCCAGCATGAGCGCCAGGTGAGCCGGGCAACCTCTATCCCTTGACCCTGTTCTCTGGCAGTCACAGTGGGCGGGGAGTGCGGGGTGTACCTATTTTTCCAGGGCTCCCCCAACTGGTCGGGGCCCCTGGGCATGGGCCATGTTAACCCAGTGGAAAATCCGCCACTGTCAGTATTAGAAATTTGTGCTGCATTTCCAGTTTGAATGTTTGATTTCTGCTCCCAGACACGGGTTCTTATATCGACTTTCTCTGCTACATGAAAAACCAATTTCTTACCTGGTATTTTCTCCCAAATGAAGGTGTTTATACATTGTAATTGTCAGCTCAATCTTCTTTTGAGTAAGCTAAACAGATTGAGCTCCTTAAATCCCTCACTGTAAGGCATTTTCTCCAGCCCTCAAATCATTCTTGTAGCTATTTTCTGTGCCTGCTCCAGTGATTCAATATCCTTTTGAAAATATGGATATCAGAAGTGAATTCAGTATTCCATTATTGGTCCCTTCAATGCCATATATAGAGATAAAATCACCTCCCTACTCTTACTCACTACTCTCCTGTTTGGCCTCCTCATTCAGGAGATACCTGAAGAGCCATAGTCTGGCTGAGTCTGCTCAAGGCTATTGTGCAGTGTTTGCAAGAACCCTCTGCCAGTTTTATCCTCCAAAGTGCTCCTTCCTGGAAGCTAGCAGGGCAGGGTCTGTCTACCTGCTAGCCCAGGGCTGGGCTCTTCTGAATTGAGCTTCTCCCTTTTAAAGCTTCTCCTCCAAGATTGCCATTCCTCACAAGTGCAGTGGGGACAGGTCTGTCAGAGCCCCAAGCTGCTGTTTAACCCCTTCTTGCCTGGCATGGGATTTATAAATCCCATCACAAGTATCTTTTCCCATTGATTCCACTGGAAATAATTGAGCAGTAAGATAGTATTTTTATTGTGATGAAGGATGGCAGAATCTAGATCTAGGGTCTGTTAAGTTCCTTAAGAGCCTTGGATGGAAGGTATTATTAAAATGCAATGAATATTAATAATTCAGTACAAAAACTATATTAAAATAGTGAGATTGCAAAGTGAAGCATCAGAATTCTGGGCATGATGAAGTTAAAGTTGCGTGCACAACATTGATTCCACCCTTTCTCTATATGCATTCTGACTTAGTGTTATATAGTGGTCACGTTATTTTTCAAATAATGCAGTCACTATAATGGTTCTGGGCTATCTGCACCTCTGACCCTACCCCCTCTCTTTGCATCAGGTCTCAGATCTCTAACCAGTACCTGTCTCCTGCGATAGACTCATGCAATTCTCCCAGGGGAGAGTGAAGGAAATACCTGTATTTTTTTATAAATAGCAGGCATTTTTCAGTTTTCTTCTGTGATATTTTCCTGCCTAGCAGCACAGTTGAAAGACGCTAGAAAGGGGAAACAGGAAATGAAATAATGGCAAAGATACGGTACTACCAGAGAGAATACCAAGGGTCCTTGAGGAAACAATGGGGAAGCTGTTCATTGAGCAATACCCTTGGCTTGGCTCCAGCTACATTGGGAAGGTATATTCTTCCCAGTCCTATGTATAGGATTAAAGGGGATGCTGAAACCTCAAAAATGCTTGCCTAGGGAAGAAGGGGTTGGGTGGGCTGTCAGGCTGCCCAGAGTGTTTGTGAACGTTGACAGGGATGCAAGGGGAGACACTGGAGGAGTGACAGAACAGTCTGCTTCTCCCAGCCTAGAGATAGAGGTAGTTGGGCAGAAGAGAATTTACAAAAGTTGGCAATGAAAGATTACAGTATAGGGAAGACCAATGCACATAAGTCTTTTTTGTTTTAACCCTTTGCTCTTGGTGCTATGTGCCAGTGAACAGTCTTCTTAAAGCCAAGTATTGAAACAAAAGCATCTCCCAGAAAAGACATTTTAAAACAATGAACAAGTCTTCATGAATGAATGATTTTCTCCAAGGCTTACCATTCCCTAGATCAACAACTTCAGACTCCCTCCATGCAGTCTCCCTGTGTCCCTTGATAGCTTCTGACCATTCAAAGTAGGGTGACCAGCTGTCCCGATATTTGGGGCTTTGTCTTATATAGACCCCTATTATCCTCATCCCGATTTTTCACACTTGCTGTCTGGTCACCCTAGTTCAAACTCCTCCCCGCCTCCTGCCCGTTTCTTCTGAGAAGGGCTTTTTAGCTGTTTAGTGTTTTAGATCTTCAGGATTTCAGGTTTGGCAAAAACAAAGCTTGTGACCTGTTGGAAATGGGGTCCTTGAAGCTAACAGCTTGCCCCATGGTCTTTCAGCCCTGTGCTTGGGTGTTCCTATCTGAGAAGCCATTGTGTTACTTTCTTGTTTGTTCTTCACACAGCACCCCCAATTCAATGAGATCAAGTCTACAGAAAAGTCATATAACCCAATATACAATCACTTCACCTTACGAGGTCACATACAGTGTTTGTTTATAAAATTATTATTTCTCAGTATTCTTAGATTAGTACAGAGCAGTTCCTTACCTGTCATAAAAACACTTCTAAAAAATAAATCTGAAACACATTCATGGCATTCTGTAGTAAAAGATAGTGCCACACACGGTCTGCGACTAATGACTGTCTTCCTGCAAAATTTCAAGTTCTTATTTTCTACTAGTGAGCGTAGAGCTGTTTTTAAAAAGCTGCAAACTCTTTTTATGGGAAATTTTTATTTCCATCCACACCCCCACATAAACACAAATGGCTGACCGAATTTTTGTCAAACTTTAGAAAAATATTTTGTTGGGCTGAAGAATAAAACTGTCAAAATTATAAGTCGCTAAAAGTGACCCCTTAGAATAGTTTGGCCAACTTTGACAATAGGTGTTTATGCTCTGCCTGTATCACGTATTATTATTATTTCTACCTTAAGAGTAGTAAAGTGCAGAGGCATGATGAGGCAATAGGATTCTTACATACTAAATCATATTAGAAGTAGAGGAAAGAAATCCTAAGGCCCATAGAGTCCAAGCAACACATATTGGCAGGGTAAATGTGGCTGAAGTATTAATGAGTAGTGCTGCAGGGATCTGCAAACTGTATAACAGTCATATAAAATTGAACTCACTTGAAGTGAGTTGGGGTGTCAAGGACATACTTAGGGATAGTTGTTTCTGTTGCATATTTCTCTGGTATATGGTAGACAAAACTTTTTTGGCAAAAGATGTAGATTTGGTGACACCAGAATGTTTTGTGAATTCGTGTTGCTTGTAGCAAATTATTTTTGGATGAAAAAAGTTCTAAAAAGATTCTAAAAGGGATTTGAAATGAAATGTTTAGCTTTTTCAGTTAGAATTACTTTGTTTCAATATTTTGTTAATTAAAAACAAAACGTTTTTAAATGATCAAAATTGAAACAAAATGTTTCATTTTATCAAAACAAAATATTGACCTGACACAGATTTTTTTTTTTTTCAACTTCTTGGGTTGCCAAAATTTTTGAAAAATTTGTTTTTGATCCAAAACCATTTGTTAATTATTTTTTCAGACTTGCCAGTGAACCAAAAAAATCCATTATTAATACAGCTCTACTAATTACCAATCAAGTGCTTTGTTTGAAAAGGAGGAAGAAGAAACGGATCATCATTTCAGTTCCAGAGGTACTGGTGGCCACATACCTGCTTTCTCTCAAAGTCGGGCCTGTGTGTACACAGCCGCTGGGTTTGTATGCTGTTTGGAAAGACTGTAATGTATTGCTGCTGTGCCTAAGTGTAGGCTGGCTTCTTTCCCTGCCCCTAGCCACGCCACTGTTCCTGATTTTCCCCTTACATTGTGTGCCAGGAGAATGAATATGCTGCAGGATTTGCGCTGTTTTCAGTGAGCCAATTAATCATTTCTTTACATTTTGGATTACACGTGAAGAAATAGAAGAGATTAGCAAAATCTAGTAACAACAACTAGCTTCTCAAAGGAGAAGACCCTTAGGACAGAGTTGCTCTCAAGCAAGTTTAAGGCCAGAAGGGATCACTAGAACATTTAGTCTGACCTGCTTTATATCAGAGGCTATTAAATTTCACCCAGTTACCCTTGTATTGAGCCCAATAACTTGTGTTGAGCTAAAGCGTATCATCCACAAAGGTATTCAGTCTGAATTTGAAGACATTGAGATGGAGAACCCACCCTCTCCATTGGTAGGATTAATCACCCTCACTGTTAGAAATGTACCGTATTTCCAATTTCAGTGTCTGGCTTTGGCTTCCCACCATCTGTTCTTGTCTATGCCTCTCTGCTACATGAAAGGCCCCTTTCTTATCTGGTATATTCTCCTTGTGAAAGTCCTTTATACATTGTAATAGTCACCTCTCGGACCTTGTCTACACTTGCTGCGGCTGTAGCTACACACCACACCTGTAGCGACACACCACAGTGAAAAGCAAACTCCGTACCCACTCACTGCAGCGTGTAGGTACACGTGTCAGAGAAAGACTTTGGCAGGGGGCATTTGCCTGGAGCCTTTTCCTGCTTCCTTCCCCTGCTAGAGCCTTTTCCCACTGATGGAGTCTTTCACTGTGGCATGAAAAGGCTCTGACAGTCAGACGCTACGCTGCTAAAAATAGTATAGCTGTAGGAGGCTCTGCTCGGCCACCTGGAGAGCTGTGTAGGGTGTAGACCCCGGGCGTCTGGTGTGTAGGGCACTCTGGTCTTCTGAGGAGCACCTCAAGTTTTGGCGATGGGGCTCACAGCTTGGGAACAGCACATTGTTCTTCTGAATGTGGAAAGAAGCAGGGACATGTCTGTATGATAAGAGAATGATGAAGCAGTTTCCAGTGCATTAGTAATGGCAGGTTATTAGACCTCATCTACTCGGGATAAACATTTTTCAGTCAGAAGGCCTGGATAACCTGTATCCAAGAGTCTTAATAAGAGTTGGCTGAGGAGATCTCTGCCCTGCAGATGGTCATTTTTAATAAATCCTATAATACCAGGGAATTAATGTAATCTGCATTAATGTAATACCTAGACTCTTGTATTCTGTTTTAGCACCTCATGACATTCTGATTAAAATTTGAGCACTATGCAGTATCAACAGAGTACATGTTAAATAGATTAAAAACTGCAGGCCAACTGACAGATATGAATGGGAATCTTCTTGCTTTCCCCTCTAAACTTCTACATAGCAATTATATATTGCCAATATGAAAATCTGTGGCATATTGAAAAGGTGGGGGACAAGATGAAATTGAATTTAATATTATTAAATAACATGGGATACTGCACTCATTGAACAAGAAAATTAATAATTATTTACAAAGATAGTTTTTAACAAAAATGAAGTGGCTACAGAATTGCCAGCATGCATCAGAATCTAGGCTCAGTTTGCCAAAGTCTGATTATTTTTACTTTGGGATAGTGCCCATACTAGAATAAGCTCCCGGTTCTCAGATTTTAAAAATCAAAAGTATTTGGCCTCCCATTTTCATAATTTCATCTAACAGATTCTTATTCTGCTACTATGTTATAAACCAGCCCATGCCCCACATATCACAGTCTGGGAACCACTCTGCTTGAGCATATTCCCCAACCTGAGAAGAAGGTGCCAGTCCCTACCCTTTAAGAGCTATTATTTCTATAAATCTGTTTTTACAGATAAAATAAAACACAAAGGCTTCCACAGCTTGCAGTTGCCAGCTAAGCTTAATTGTATCCATACTCTGTGGCTACACAAAGGGGTGAGAAGAAATATAAGGCTACACAAGCTGAACCGTGGAGAAAGTGCATGTATTGCTGTGGTAGACATGGCTCAGAACTGATGTCCCAGATTGGGCCTAAGACACCATCACAAAACCTAGGTTTTATAACAACTTTATGGCTTACACAACAGACATTGGAATTCAGACTGCCAGCCTGATTTCTGGGCCAAAGAAAGCTATTCGAATGGCTGCAAGAAGGAAGGTTTCAGAACATGCACTATCAGTTGGGCAGCCAGCCCTGTCCTCAGGCCAGGTCCTAAAGGAGACTGATATTGCCGAGGTAGCCCTTAAGATCTCACCTGTGAACTGCGAAAGAGGAGAGGATATTAGTAAGACATTGAAAGATGACAAAATTAAAAACCACAAGCAGCTGGTTACCCTTTTTTATTCATATAATAAGGAACAAATGCAGACATTAGGCTTGATATCAGTGGCAAAGCTTCCCTCTCCTAGGCACTAGCTGAGCCAAAACTTGTAATTCCGTGTATTAATCTGCTATACTTAATTAAAATAGAACTTGTGGGCTGATGAAAAATGGAATTTGTTACCTTTCTCTCAGGAGTAACCTTTCCCCCAAGCTAACGTCAACTCTAAACATGGAATGTGTCATCCAAGAGAAGACAACTTACAGCTTGTTTCAAGGGGCAGCTTGAGACAGGCTCATTTTCCACTGTTGTCTGCCACTTTTCCTTTGGTTTTTCTGTCTCCAACAGCTGGAGCCAATGTCTGACTTTGATACTTGCAGAGAGACTAAATTCTGTCATTAAGGATAATTTGGCTGAGGAATCTAGTCACAATTCTCTTCTGGCCCAGGTGACAGCCCGCACTTGCATGAAATCTAAACTGGGCCAGTGTTTAATCCAGACTCATACGAAGAGTGGTTCTTCAAACCAGAGATGATTTCTGGTATCATTTCTGGTATTCTTTCCTGGTATCTCCATACCTTGTGTAATGAGATGATAGACCCACCATGCAGCAACATCTCTGCCTACTTCTCTCAAGATAATTTTCTTTCTAGCTCTTCATTTTTTCTAACCAGGACCCCCAGGATGTTCAAAAATTAGTGTTGTATTTTCTGTACACCTTGGTATCTCCATTTCAGCTGAAAGGAGGGTTCAGTACCTGCTTCTAAAGCTCCCGGACTCTAGAAAGGTAAAATGGAGCATTAAGGGGTTTAGTTTAAGGGGCTCATTCAATTCGATGAGACTTTATATGCATGACAGGCTATACAAGTGTTAAAGTATTAAAGACACCCCCTACTGGTATTTTTCAGAGGTTGGTATGACTTGCCCAGCACAGGACTACACATCCTATTTGGGGTTTGATCCGCCGTGACTAGAAAATTAAACCACCTTTTGAATGTAGTGTGGAGGGGTAATGTAGCACCTTTCCAAAGGAACTGCTGCCTTTCATTAGCAACTACTCAGGAAGCATTTGAGATTCAGGAGTCTCCCAGATTGTGTCTCCTTGCTTGTAGTTAAGACTTGATTCGCTTGGTAAGTTTACTACTCAATGAAACAATCAGAGGAAAACAGCAACCATGGGAACTGTGGGAGTATGTGGTGTTCACTGAAGGCAGTGAACCATCCCTTACATGGTAACTTTCAGTCCCCAGTGAGCTGATCTAGGGTCATACTAGTAAACAAGAGGTGAAAGGGTTGGTATCATTACCAGTCCACTGAGCCAGCCTGTCCATGGAATTTCTAAAAGCTTTTAAGGACAAAACCTCTTAGCAGATCTGTGCACATGATTCATTTAGCACAGACTCTCAGCCAACTTCCCAGGGGACAACTAAAATAATTTTCATATGAAAGTAAAGCAAATAGCCTGTGTCTTGCTCATCCTACCAAGCATTATTGACCAGTGCTGAGTAAGACCGTCTTTTCAGTGTTGATGAACAGGTTGGCAACTCATCCTGTGTGGTCTGGGTCATGGCTGTATAATACCAAAGTGCAAGGCTTTTAATAATCTTCATGTGCTGTTCAACCTGATCCACTAAGACCAAACAAAAATGTTTAAAAACTGCAGTCAAGCTTGTAAATACTTGCAAAGTCGCAGTCTGAATGAAGCTGAGACAAACTCAATAGTTTAATTATTTCTGTAAATGTATAGAACAGTTGTTTGTTCCTACTATAGGTCTGAAATGTTCCACTGCAATGTACTGCCTCTCCCACTGGAGAGGTAGTTGGGACTAGTTATATTTGTCTCCTCATTAGTTCCCTATCCAGTGTTTTACAGCTAACAGATGACATCCAGTGAAACATCAGAGGAACCTTGAACTGTTACACTTCAGTGCTCTTGGAGACAAGTGTCCTTTTGTGGATTGCTGAACTCCCACTCTGAGATATGAAGGAACTTGACCACAGGGCAAAAGTGGCTTTCATCTCTTAGAAATTACAAGACCAAGTAGCACAACTCCAGGCTCACTTAAATAAAGCAGTTTAGTAAGGTTTTAAGATAAAGCTTCAAGATAATTGTATAAACCTTGATAGAAAACGAGCCCTCTGGTTCTTTACTTAATAGAAGTTTGGAAAAATGGAGTGGGGGAAAGGGAGGCTATCTAGATAAATAGAGAGTTATTTATAAGCTCTTTTTAAAAACAAACAAACAAAAAAAACTAGGATGCAGGTATGTTGGAAGTTAGTAGTCAGATAAATATTAGCAAGAAAAATTGGACCAGAGAGAGATCCAGCTGGAACAAAAGCATTTTTCTCCATGGTTGCAAGGAAAATTAATGTCAATATTAATGTGGCATTGCCTTGTGTTCACTCTTAACAAAATTAATCCAATCTGGATGATGACTCTAGATCTATAAATATATTTATTATAATATAACAACAGTAAACATAAACTATATACAATGCCATTACAGAGAACCCTGGTTGTTTTATATTAGTCACAGAAATAGCCAGTTTTGCTCCAGTGTGAGAAATGAAGAAATAAGCTAAATTGGAAATGTTGAATGTGTTAGGTCTTGTTGACTGCTAGCACCTCCTTTGGAGGTAGACACACACCAACACTAAAATTAGTCCTGCCCCAGGCAGTTAGAAACTTGTGCTCCAATCTTTAGGTTCACACTTGTACCCTGTTTGACATAAATACTTTAAATGACATATTATGTATATAATTTTGTTGTGCTTATTTTTTTCTCTGAAGAATAAATAAAACAACTGCATAACAAAGGTTGGAACTTCACTATCAAAATGAGAGAGACGCGAGTCACCCTAGAGCCTGACTGAGCACATTATTTTTAAATACTGCAAGATACAAATTTCATCCTATTTTGTTTTTATAAACAATTATTAATAAAATAACTTTAAGGTGATTGGCTAACCATCTGCATTGTTTTCCCCAAAGTTGTAACCAGACCTCCCCTGATACAAAAAGGCTAACATATTTGGTATGAAATTCAACTAGATATTGACCATAGTGTGTCTCATACACACATTCTGTAAAGGAATCTCTCCACAGAATTACCACCATGGCATTTAGAATCTAAAACTGTGAAGGCAAACGTAGCAACTCTTTCTCTTTCTGCTGCTCTGTTTGGAAAGAAATCACACAAATCATCTGCTCAGGGTTATTTTCCATTTGTTAACTGTAAGAATCTGTTTTCCCCCATTATATCTCCCTGCTCATCTCCCATTTGATCATTCCATTTACAAATTTATAAAGAATTTTCACATCACAATGCTTCTCTGGATAGACAATGTTTTTATATATATATATAAAAATATAACCCCTGTGCTGTGCATATACTTACAACTCTACACAGTAATCGTTCTGTCTCTCTTATACTGGGCTTTACCCAATGCATTTTCTATTATGGGATTTAAACTTGTGTGTTTAAAACATGTGAATGTTTTTATTCTGAAACATTCTGATGCTTCTTAGTGAGAGAAGTTTGCATTTAAGACTTCCATATCTTTTAATTGGGAGATAAGATTTTGGTTTTTTTTTTAAGATGTCCTCTTAGATGTAATTTAAAAACAAAGATAGTGGCATATATCCCAACATAAGGAATCTTGATTATGATCCAAAAATGAGTATATAAACCATAACATGAGGCATCTTCTTAAATAACGTACTGAAATCGTGGAAATCCCACATCATATTGTTTCTTTTTATTAACATGATTCCAATCAGAACATTTTAAAGAGGTTAGTTTAATCAAGAAAATGCCTCTGGAATCTAAAAAAAAAAATTGCATTGGACGTTGCAAGCACTGTCAAGTTTTGCTCATACAGTAGAAAACAAGATAGAAACCACTCTCCACTCCTAACACACAAATGCTGCCATGTAGGGGGCAGAAGTCCATACAACCCAAGAAACCTTTTTCCACATAGAGTGCTGTTACAATCAGTTCTCTCTCTCTCTCTCCTTTTTTGGTGCTGCTCTAGAGAACTGCAGTATTTATTTGATCTGATGGAAGACTGACATCAACCTACGCCAGCTGTCACACAAGATATATCTCAGTCATTGGTATTGAAAAGCATGTATTTGTTAAAAACAAATGTGGGAATCAAAGTGATAAGGACACTTTGACCTTCTTTCAAATAGTCTGATGCCTAATGTGTAATAGTAAAACAAATCTTCTACACAGTTACTTTAAGAATCAAGCTTGCTCTCTAGGAGTAAAATGCAGATTTTTCTCTTCCCCCAGTTAAAAAATATGTGAAATTCTATTGCACCTGGGTTGACCAAAAGCCTACATCCGTAACAAGTGCCACTACAACATCTAGTGACACACTTGTATTATTAAGTTACACTATCTTACATAGCACGGAGCTCTCTGCTCCTTGTTCACCAAAAGGTGAAGATGATTTTCTACATTCAATGTAGAGAATATTCAAAACTTTAGAGCAATATGTTCGTTGCTTTTGTGTTTTTGTTCTTCTAATTTTATTTATTTTTGTTGTAATAGCTTTTTTTTATTTCTTGCCTGCTTTTAGCAGGCAAAACTAGTTCTCCATCCAACTCCTTGGTAGCATCAACCACTCTGAATGTACTTTTTAATAACTACACAGCCATGTCGAAACACAGGGCATGGCATATTGGGGAGAAGTGTCCATGTGTTTGTCTTAGGGTCATAAGCTTCCATATTCCCCAGCGCAGGTCCTTCGCTGCTAACAATTCCACCGGTGGCATAAATTTTTCCATCAAGAACCACAGCACTATACACAAAAAGAAAAGAAAAATTTTGCTTAATATCTTGTAAAACAGTTCAAATTTCTTCTAGTTTTTAGTGCCCTTTTGCAACACAAGCCTAACTGGATAACTGTTAGAATAGTAAGAAACACTTGCATCTTTAGAAAGCTGAACGCCCCTTCCATTAATCTTAATAACCTTCCCCTACCTGCGCTGCCCCACCATCCCCCAGGTAAGCTTTCCCCACTTTAAACATACAAGAGGGAAACTGTGGAAGACATGACTCTCTCAAGCCTATAGAGGGTATCAACAGCACAGCCACTGTTGCAATGTACCAGGCCTAGATACACACCTATGCACCACATCCAAGTGTATAAACAAATGTAGCTGCTATTCAGAAGTTTCTGGCTCCCAGTCCTGTGCATACAAAATGGGATTTTTACACCACCGGTCTTTGCCAAAGCTGTAAAGGAAGAAACAGCTACCCCCCAAGACTACAAGCTCAATGAAAACCCTCTTGATTCAACCCGTTCTGTGGTCAGTTGTCTTTCTTTCACTGTGGAGGCTGGGGTCATGACTACATTTTCCACTGAGCCAAACCCTCTCCATCCCATTTTCCTCTCTCTGACTCAGAAACACATCTTGCTGCCTGTATGTGGCTGCTGGTGTGAGTGCTGTCTGGCAGAAGGCATTACAGCATGCATACAAAGCCAATCAATGGCTGTGGATACCGAACAGTATCTGGGGGTGGGGAGCTGGGTGCCCTAGTTTATAAAAAGATAAGCACATTTTAAAACTTTGCAAATTTTAAATATATTGCAAATAAAGCAAACTGAACAAAGGAGGGTTATGGAGAGGCTCTATGCCAATGACTGGGCTCGCCGAACTTAACACTAAGTAGTACATTCACATATTTCATAGAGCTCATTTTGAAGCAATAAACATACAGAGCGGGCTGCAGCATAAGGAGGAAGAGTTGAAATTGAAGGATGGGGTGAATGGTGAATCCTAGAAGATGCCAGCATGAAAAACCAACCAACCAAAATGCCTCTGAAAAAAGAAGAATGTAAAGAACAAGAAGTGGTCAATGTCTTCAGGAGGAATCAGGCTCTGAGGATAAAAACAAACCTGTATTGAAAACAGTGAAGAGGGAAGGATTTAAACAAGACTAGTATGAGTTACATACACAAGTAAGTAGGAAATAATGAAGACCTTTTCAAAATAACTGTTAATCTGAATGCAGGTAAATTGGGTTTACTTGAAACATTTGATCAGCTTATCTATACAAATCAGCAAGGCTGGCCGATTATACAGCCCGGAGTCTTAAGGGAATTTGCTAATGAATTTACTGAACTACTGGTAATTATTTTTGAAAAGTCACATAGAAATGGGGAAGTACTAGAGGATTTGAATAAAGTGTTGTACCAATATTCAAAAAAGCAAAGACTCATTTTGAGATTACTAATATCTATTCTGTGTAGCCTTACAATTTGCCCTCAACTGAACTCCTACAGAAAAAAGATAACACCAAAACACTTTCTCAAAATGACCACTCCATATCTGACCTCTCGCTCCTCATCCTCAACAGAAATCTGCACAACACCTTCAGAACACAAGCCTGGGAACTTAAATTCATAACTCCACTTGACATAAAAAATCATGGCTGGAGATACTGTATCTATGGCTTTTTGTAACGATTTGTAGCCTACTAACCTTCTTTTGTCCTATAACTGTAGCGGTATTAACTGCCCCCTTCATCTTGAATGGTCTCTTGCAACATGTATTAATGCCTTATCTATGCCATGCTTGTATTTAGCTGTTGCCACTACCTGTCCCAGACCTGAAGTAGAGCTCTGCATATGCTTGGAAACTTGTCTCTCACCAAGAGAAGTTGGGCCAATAAAAGATATAACCTCATCCACCTAGCCTGTCTAAATGAATAAGTAAATAAAATAAAAAAGAGAGAGCAAGACTGAAACCAGGAACCTCCAACCAGACTTTATTTAGTCATATATTCCTAACACTCCCATCCCCTCCCTCCATTTGTTAGTTACACTGACTCATTACATCTTGTCTGTCGAGTCCAATCCTTACACACAGGTGTAACTTTATGTAAGGAATAATGCCACTGAAGTGCACAAGTGTTTGAAGGATCAGTGTCTTGAATTGTAAGTGCTGCAGGGCAGGGAAGCTTGTTTAATTTGTGCTTGCACAGAGCCTACCACAATGGGGTCCCAAACTTGATGGGGCACTGAGTACTACTGTAATACTGCTACTAATAAATAATTGCTATTAATAGCATGACAGCCCGTTATGTATAAGTACATAGGACGGTGGCATTATGAGAACTAAACAGCATGGACTTTCTAAAGAACACAAGATACAAGACACCCACAGCCGGCTACATGTGGGATAAAGCCATGTGGACACAGTACAATGGTGACATGTGCCAAACTGAGATGTCATCTCTGCCCCAGAAAAGATTATGTTCTAAAGGCTCAAAAGGGAACAATATGAACATAAAAATGGCCACACTGGATCAGACCAATTGGCC